CTAAAAAAATGTCGAAAACTCGAATAAAGATTGAATTTTTATCCCCTTTTCTTTCCATTTCAAGATTCACCTGCCCATGAAGATGCCCATATGGCAGCTCCCACAACCAGAAAGTATAATGCATACTGCAAAACAACAGAAAAAAATCAAAGTTTCAAGAAAATTAAGAAACCAAAACCCAAAACAGAAAAATAAAAAAAAAAATAAAAATAAAAAATCAATGCATACAACCTTCAGAACTTCCTGCGACATTTTATCGACATCGTTGGCATTGGACCCGAAAGAGTTCACGAGATCGGCGAAGAACCTAAGGAACAACGGCAGGGAGCTGCCGTGCACAACCGCGCCGGCCGTGCCGATCGCCATCAGCAGATAGTCCAGCCCGTCAGCGAACCGGAAAAGCTCCCCGAACCCCACCGGCTGCGGCGGCGACCCGGGCTTCTCCGTCTCCCCGCCGCCAGAGTCTCCGCCTTCCTTCTTCCCACCTGCGGTGGGAACCTCCGCCGCCTCCGCCATCGAGGGTGTCTCCCCTGTCTCGACCCCTGCGCCGTTAATAGAAGTAGGGTTGACGGCCGTTTGAGCTGACACGACGAGCTCCAGGCCTTGAGCTTCAGTCCATCGCCACTGCTCGGTCGCCTTTATATCCTCTTCAAAATCTTGTTCAGTCATTCTAATTTTTATAAAAATAGTGCAATAATCATCAAGACTCCATTTTTATTCCTATTATAATATAGAAAAACAAAAAAAAAATGGAAAAATCAAGTGTCTCTTTCTCTTTGTTTTATTGGGTTTTTTTTTTTTTTTAATTATTATCTTCCTGTAATTTTGTGTCTTCTTCTACACGCTCTCATATCTGCCACACTTTTTGGGATTATTTTTTCAGTTTCTTGTTAGCTTCCCTCACAATTTATCTACCTTTCATCTTCCTCTTTTTACCCCCTTTTCTTTACAGTGGGGTAACTTGTTTCAGGTTTTACAGCAGTAAAAACACGCACACACGCACAGGTGACCTAAAATTGACAGATGATGGGAGAGTGAGACTGTGAGGAGCAGAGCGTAGAGAGAGAAAGAGACTTTGGCACCCGACAAGAGAATACTGTGTTGTAAGATTTCGGATCGGGTTTTTGACCAACTGTAGTGAAAAAAGAGTGGAATCGCGCATAGTTGATTTAACGGTTACGAACTCCGATAGAATTGTTCCGTAACCGACCTTAGCATCTCCCAAAAATAAAATAAATCGTATTTCATGATGTAGTAGTGGTTCATGTGAGGCAATAATTATATCTTTTGACCATAGATTGGCTAATTTTCAAATGAATATTGTGGTAGGATATATGACTATGAGATGGCCTATAAGATCACTTGGACTTTTTTTTTTTTTTTCTAAAGAACTAAAAACTTTTATTAGATTGACCTAGCTTCGCAATTGAATTCTTCAAAAGCTTGAATTAATTCATGAAAGATTGAGTTACACTTGTTTAGAATAATGAGCGGAGTTCGAACAACTAAATGGGTTCGTTAACTAAATAAACCTCGAGTTTGTTCGCGAATAATTTTTTTCTATTTAAATATACTTTTAAGGTTTTAATGAAACAATCAAGCCAAACTTGTTTGGACGTTTCAAAATATTTAAGAATAGCTCATTTAAAGTTCCAGAGATTTAAGACGACGATAGCAATTGCAGACTCGTAGATTTTTTGATTTTAAAGTTCGAGTATGACTTAACAAGTAAATTTAGGAAATGAGTCGAACTCTAGTTGACTTTTTTTTATTAAACTAGCTTAAGTTTGAACATGAGTATCTCAGTCTTAATTTCTCAACTCAATTAGCACCTCTGATATGAAATTATCAAAAATTTATGGAGCTATCGGATGGTTTTCTTATGGAACCATCCATCACTTAATGTATTGACACATATCCATAAGTCGTGTCATTCGATGACTCCGTAGCAAAACTGATAAAATTATAAGGTCTTTTATATTTGGGACTTTGCACGAGACTTACAACAGTTGATTACATTGAAATGGAATATATATTTCAAGGGAACTACTACAGTCCTTTTGACGGAATAATTTTGTCAGCGATATATTATCCACACAACATATTCTATTATATATCCAATAAAAAAAAAAATATTGACCATATCATCTCGTAACATAACCTTAATATTTTTCTATATTTCAATTTGTGTGTCCACATATATTTATTACGACAAATGTTGCTGCTGGCCAAGTTTAAAACTTGGGAGGTCAAAGGTACGAAAATCTATGTTACCTAAACTATTCATTGGTGATTTTATGTCACCCGTAAATGTGGCATTTTAAATTGTAGTTTTGCTTTCTTTTTCTTCGGGTTCATTAGTTAATGTAAATTGGCCTTAATGGTTTTTTTTTTTTTTTTNNTTTGGTAGTTCCGTATTTATATAATTCTACGTATATATATATATTTTGGTAGTTCCCTATTTATATAATTCTACGTTTATTTATATTTATATATATAAGGTACGCCCAAATAACATTGTAAAAAGTCCAACTTATACAGGTTGTATTTGGCGAGAATAATAAGTTAAATAAGTTGGTTATAGTATATATCCCCCTATATTAATCCAGAACGCGCTGAGTCTACGTGGTTGTTTCTTGTGCTTCGGAATCCTATGTGGCAAAATTACATGCTTCGTTATTAGGCTTGGGTAAATTTTAATTTAATTTCAAACTAAAAATAATTAGGTTCAGATTACCATAAGTATGTTGATTATTTATGGTCATGTTACATGTATTAATTGCATTTTAATATCATTTGTTATTATAACTATTGAATTGTATATATATTTTAAAAGTTAATAACTTTTATATTTTTTTTATCATTTCTACATATGTAATATATCAAATTAATCTTCTTTTGATGAGCTTCGATTTAACATCCATATTGTATGTATAAAAAAATAATAATTTATATTTATCATTATAACAATAATAAAATTATTTTTAATATTAATTAGAAAAATAAAATTATTTATCAACTAATATATTTATATTTCAAGTAGTTATATGATATAAGTTATAAAAACTAATATAATATAACACATGTAAGTTATAAGTAGCACATATCATTCTAAAATATATAGTAATATATTTTTTTTTGTAAAAAAGTAAACTAAATTTAATATAGTTTTCTCATTAATTTAATTTTAAGAATATTTTTTTAACAAGCACCCGTGTAATACACGGGTGTTGTACTAGAACATTCTATGTATTTAAATAAGTTTCATTTATTAAGATATGATCTATATTTATATAATGGATTAATTCTTATCGTCATAATTGTCATGATTTTGGCAGGAATTTTTTTTTGTCTATATTTGATATTTAATTAATATTTATTTATTACCGAATTTTATGCATGAAAAACATAATGAATTTTTACACAATCAGTGATTATTACTCATTAACTACAAATTGGCTTTAACTGAATTTTTTATTATAGATTTGTTAGATATTTTTTCAATAAGATCTTATATTAATTTAATAGTAGTTTATTGGCGCAATTCAAAAAATTATTATGGAAATTGATTTGATTAAATATATTATCATATAGGGTTCTAGGTAGTAATTTAATTAATTATATTCACTATTCAGATATACCTAAAATATTTGATAAAATAATCAAAATAATTATGTTTAAATGATAATAACTTAATAAATGTTAAAATATTAATAAAAATTTCTAAAATATAGTCGATTTAACTCTAAAAATGTATATCCCTATTGAATATATCATATGCAGTGATAATACTATTGAAAATTTAAATAATATACTAATAAACATAAAATTTGATGGTAAATATATATATTTTTTCTTATATACTATTTTGTAAATGGAAATGAGTTAATAAAAAGGCATTATAATAATTTAAATTACAACACTTGGTAATTATGGAAATATATAATATACCTAAATATTTGAATAGATACTATGTAACTCGTTATACAAGTAGAAAAAATGAATTAAATAAATAATATAAATAAAAAATAAAAATATAAAAATAAAATATTTAACATAAAAAAATTGTATGTTGCATAAGGATTAAAGTTACTAAAAATTATAATTTATTTATTAAAGTTTTTAACATTTAATGGACATAATAATTATAGCGGAAGATAAATATTATGGTTTAAACGTTGTTCAATTATCAAGCAATGTGCAAAGTATGAATTGTTAAAAAAAATTATAAAACAATGATAAACGATAATTTTATAAATACATACAAGTAATTTGTATTCAAATATCATATGATTTTATACATTTAAACTTATAAATAATGAATTTATATATTAAATAGTCAAATATATATATAAAAATATATTAACAATAATAATAAATAAATATCATATTATTACTTCATAGAATATTGTTGAGAGTATAATTTCGTACTTTATTAAATAGATTTAAAATATTTAAATAAAAATATTTTTTGTATTGCACCACGTGCATCGCACTGGTATCAATACTATTATTTCAATAATGCGCAAATCTTCTCAAATGCTTATTGAGGCAGCGCTTAAAAAAATGTTCACTACAGGAAAATGATGAAATTCCAACGGAAATCTTTGCCAAAAGAATTATTCAACCGACAATTCCAACGGATATTTCAATACTATTATTTCCGTTGAAATTTTTCAATGGATTCCAATGGAAATTCCAACAAAAATATTCTGCTTGAATTGGTTTTCCATTGGAATTTCCGTTGGATTTTGACGATTCCAACGGTGGATTTTCCAACGGGGGTGGAAATAAAAATTCCAACGCAATTTGTTGGAAAAATTGCACTATTCGTCCATTAACTATACCCTCGTTGCACTTTCGTCCTTTAATTGTTTCCGGTTTACAATTGGTACACTAACTTTTTTTTTATAATTTTAGTCCAAAATGACATTTCGGTGCTCAATTTCGCCGGAATAGCTGATGTGGCGCCCATTCAGATCGAAATTTCCATTCTCGGTGTGATGTGGCACGAGGTGGCGCCTAGTTAGACCAGAAAAATTGCACTATTCGTACACTAACTTTACATTCGTTGCACTTCCGTCCTTTAATTGCTGCCGGTTTACAAAATCAGAAGAAAAATATTAAAAAAATTCAAAGAAAAATAAAAAGCTTTAAAACGAAAAAGAAAAATCAAAAGAAATAGAAAAAAATATAATTTTTTTATTTAATATAAATTATTTTTTAATTTAATAAAAAATGAAATATTTAATGATTAAATAAAAAAGAAATATTTAAACGAAATAAATTTATAATGAGTGATAAATATTTTTTATTTTGATGATTAAGTATTTAATACAAAAACAAAATATTTAATAAAAAACAAAAAATGTTTTTTTATTACATATTTAATTTTTCATTAAATATTTAACCATTATATAAAAAAATGATTATTAAATATTTATTACTCATGAAAATATTTATTTCGTTTTATATTTCTTTTTTTATTAAATATTTTTTTTATTTTTTTATTTAAATAAAAATATTTTTTCATTATGTTGATGTCGAAAATCGGACGATCAACGGTCAATCAAAAATCGAATATCTTGTAGTAAATTCAAGAACAAATTAGTAGAAATGGTGTTTTTATTTATTATATTGTGGAGAGGATTCTCTCTCTTTTTGTGGTG